TATTGAGAGTGAATTAAAAGTCATTAATGAACTTGATAATTGTGATTGTACTGACCAAAGTTCAGAAACATTTTTAAAATATTCAGATTTATCAGAAAACGTTTTTGGTTGTGCTGGTTGTGNAAAACTTCCTCTTTAATAATGAACAGATGTAATGTGTTAATGACACAGATAGATACAGCTTCAGAAAATTTTACTGAAAAAGATCTTGTGAGTAGTAAAGTACATCATGATCCAGGACTCAGAACTAAAATAACTTCAGATAATCAAAGAAAATACCTAATCATGTTAGGCCCACATCAACCAAAACTAAACATTTACCCAAAGCGAGGACCACATCGTTTTAATCCATTNAAGCTAGAAGCACATCGTTTTAATCCATCTTGGTATACTGAATACCCACACTTGGAATATAGTACAGCGAAAGATGCAGCTTACTGTTTTGTTTGCAGTTTATTTTCTGATGTAGCTGGTCGTCAAAAAAGTAAGGGATATTGGAACGAAATCGGCGTAACTGGATGGAAAAAAATGAAAGGCTCCAGTGGTGTAAATAAAATTGGAAAATTACAGAAACATTTCACTTCTGAAGCGCATAAATCTGCATTGACTGATTATTGCAACTACATGAAAAAATCGAATAACATTGATGTTATGCTTGACAAAACAGTTCGTGAGCGAAAAATTCTGGAAGTGAGCAATCAAAATTTTCAGATGAAGTTGTTAACTGAGTGCCTCGAATCAACTGAACTTAACATAGCTGATGCAATCATATTCATGTCAAGTACTCTAGAATCATTAAACATTATTAATTCTGATGTAGATGGCATGGACAACCTTATAGATAGTTCAATAGCGTTTTTGAAGTCGTTTGATGTGGATGCTGAAAAAGAATTTCTAGTTCGTCATAGACGTCGACTTGTACCTAAGCGCTTTGACAATAATAGAGATAATGCAGCTAATATGTCATTTAAAATGTTTTATAGAAAAGAATATAAATCTGTTTTGGACGAGCTCATATCACTGATGAAAAATCATTTGGAAAATTGCATTAGTACAATTAAACCATTATTTAATCTATTCAACCCCCCTTTATTAAGGAACAACTTAATCGAAAGTAAAATTCAAGATGCAGTGAATTTTTTACCCAAACAACTTGTTGTAGATCCTCTAAATTTACAGATTGAATTAGAAATACTTTACGACCAATGCAAAGAAGTAAAAACTGTTTCAGATGTAGTTGCACTTTCAGAACTATAAAAAAAAATGCTTCCCATAGCTAATAGAATGTCTCGTTTATTGTGTACAGCCCCAGTAACTGTAGCTGGAAATGAGCGTTCGTTTAGCAAGTTAAAGTTGGTGAAAAATTACTTAAGGACAACTCAGAGTGACTCCCGTTTAAGCGATTTACTATTACTTTCTACCGAAAAAGACATATTGGATAACATAAATTTAGATTTTATTGCAAAAAAATGGTCCAATTTAAAAAAAAAGAAGAATTTGTATAAATTAAATTTTTGTATCTTGATGGCGTAACACACGCCATGTGTGTTACATGTAAAAAAGTACATAACACNATTTTTGTATCTTGATGGCGTGTGTTATGTACTTTTTTATTATGATCACATAAATTCAGATTTTATTGCTAAAAATGGCCAAATTAAAAAAAAGAAGAATTTGTATTAGATAAATTATTGTGTCTACCTTTAACTATTTGTTTTAAGTTTTTTCTTTTTTATAGTCAGTTGGCCAAATGAACTTGGTTGCCCCCCTAAAAAAATGACATCGCTACGCCCCTGTCTAAAACCCCCACTTCGGGTTCGCGGACCGGAATTTCGCTATCGAGCGGCGTACGGGGTGGTAAAATTTCAGTAGCTGGGTCCCTCCCTTCGCTACGTATGTTTTCTTCTAGCATAACTAGCATGTTGGGTTTCGTCACGTAGCATGGTAGCTGTCTAAAAGCGCATTCGCGACGTAATTCAGCGCAATTCATTTGTGCTAATGTTTTCCCCGACATATTGACCGTGAATATTATGTTTATTTACAAAACTCAATAATCAAATGTATGTTATTATAATAGCGGAAATAACAATATCTCCGTGTACGGTCAAATTTACTACTGCTTTAGAAAACAAATGTTATTATTATTGCTATTGTTGTAATAAAGTACCGCGATAAGATGGTACAGGGCCGCCGTATATGATATGGCAGCGAGTGAACAATAATAATAACGGTTACCTGGGAATCGGCCGCTTTGACAAGGTCAGACGAAAATATCCTATTTTTATCTATCAAAAGACTGTAACTATCGGCCGGAAATTCACTTCTTGTCGATATCAATAAGGTCTTTATAACAAACTGTAACCAACATTTTTAAACGACAATACTTACGACGGATTATATTAGATAAACTGCTCTGACTTTATTTTTATAAAAGAAAATTTTCTCAGAGACCAGGCTAAATCTAATCTCGCTAACACGTAACTGTGAATAACCCAGTTAAAAATTCACCGCTATCACCAGTGAAATCCGTTCAAATAACTATATGAACTATAAAATTTTGTAAGGGAGACTTCACCGTTTCAATTTAAAACTAAAATTTAATAATTAGAAATAAAACTGAATCGGCTCAAAGCCTCTTACCTTAACTTCCCTCGGCCGGTTGAGATCCCTTTTTCACTTTGATTATTAATATGTTAAAAATAAGGAAAATGACATATTTAACCTATTTTTTTAATCGTTTAAAGTTAATTTTTGTTAATGTTTATAATAAAAAAAATAATTTATTTTACCATAACTTTTAGCTCAATTGGCAAGTTTGAAATTGACATCATTAAATAGAAAATTTTATGAGAATTAAAAAAATTGTATCGCTTAGATTAATATGCCGTTAAGAAGTTTTATAATTACTATTTATAGTAAATTTATCAGAGTAGATCAATATTTTTTTGCATTTTTATCGTAATTTTTAATTTAAGATATATATAAAAGTGTCAGACTTTCCGGAACACTATTATTATATGATTTTATAGGTTGTTTTAATTAATTTAGAAATGTTGTTTATGTATTATTATAATGAATTAAAGTTGTTTTATTTATTTGTGTATCTACGTCAATTTGCTCCAGGCATATGTCAACTTACCCCAGCATATCGGTAAGATGACGAATTTTGTTTTTTTTTTTTTTTAATTGCTTTAAAAAAAATTTAGTTTTTGATACTGTACTCACAACTTTTTAACAAGTTAAATAATAAATTGACGCAAAATTTGAGCTCTTATCAGGACTACTAGATGTTCCGAGTGAAAAATACGGACATATCAAAACCTACCCCCACCCCCTATTGATAATTGGAAAATAAAAATTTTTTTTTTGAATTTTCAAAATGTAGAAGAAATAATCAAATTAAAAAAAATATTTTAATTTGTTTGCGTGATAGGTGATGCGTATTTATGAAAATTAATGAGAATCGATAGAAATTAATTGTTATCAATAGGAATCGATGATTGATAATCTAGATTGACATTTTACTTGATTTTACGACTTACGTATAACTTATTTCATCAATTTTCAATAAATTATAAGTCACATACATATTTATTCTGCAATTGGTTTTATTGTCTGAATAATTATATTATAATGAACATCTCAAGTATTCGCAATACAACTGCATGCTTACACAGTAGTTATATTAAAAGCTAGTTATTCCAGTGCCATATGATGACATGCTTGGTCACTACTCAAACTTATAGTCTGCCTGATTCTGCCCATTTTTATATATATTTTCTCTCTATTTCTCGCTTCTCAGAGCAAAATAAGAGAGAATGTGACAGAATTCTCCAATTACTCGCCACTTCACGTAATTTTTTCATGCACTTAACTTTTTGATCATTTCATGAAAAATACGGACATTTTTTCAAAAAATACGGACGTCTGGTAGCCCTTATAAGAGCCTCTTATCATAAAACGTAGGAATTTGAGAACACTTCAAACCTTATGTTCGTCAACTTACCCCGGTCTCCCCTAACAATATAATACTTGGGAGAAGGAGGATATCCATTTTTTTTTTTTTTAGGTTTCCCTCATTTACGGGGAACGAAGGAAATTTTTAAAATTTTTGAGGGTAATGTCTTCGACTAGATACAATTTGTGATCTTTTGACGTATCGTTGAAAGAAATGAGTTCGGTGTGAGCTAAGAAAAAGTGGTAACAGACACAAAAAAAAAAAATAAAACAAAAAACATATCATAGTAAAATTAATACCTTCTCAGGTTCGCATCGAAGCTAATACATTTAATTTTCTACATTTTTAGGTGCTATTTTTCAATTAAGTAACTAATGTATTAAGTAAAATGATCCCTAGGCCCACAGTTTCAAATATTTCAAAGGGAAATATCTAAGGTTTTAGTATAAAAAAAAATTATGTTAATTTGTTTATTTTTGAAAAAATTATGGAAGTTTTAAGAAAAAAAAGTGAGAAAAATGACAAAATTTACCGATTTTTAAATTTATAATTTTTTTGGATATTTCCCCCATTTGCGGGGAACGAGGGAAAAATTTTCAATTTTTAAGGGTAATGTCTTCAACTAGATACGATTTGTGATCTTTTGATGTATCATTGAAAGAAATCGGTTCGGTGAGAGCTAAGAAAAAGTAGTGACAGACACAAAAAAAACACATCATGGAAAAATTAATACCTTCTCATCTTCGCATCGAAGCTAAAATATTTTTACCGTTACCCTGTCTTCTATAAATAAATAATCCCCAAACTTAAACAAAATATGTTATTTTGGTGTAAAAATAAAAATATTTTAGTATTGTAATTTTCTATTAAAATTTTTTTTCCAATTAAATTGACTATATTTTAGATCAAACAGTATAGTTATATAAAAGGGGTGATATTATATACCTTTTTTAACGCCCTTTTACAAAAAAAAATATATAACTAATTTAAGTGTTAATTATAAACTAGATTCATATTATAATTATGACCGTGAGTAACATACCTTCGTTAACTTCATTTATTATACAATAATCAGATCCATAACTATTTATTTCGAAATTTGTAGATAGTATTCTTGTATTTTTGAGTCGAACATTTTGGCAGTGTTCAGAAGCTGCTTCTGGCTCTAGAATTAAGACTACGGAATTAATATTTTCAGAGTTTCCTATTCCAACCTGAAATAAATTCATTATATTAGATTTGTTTAATATGATCCTCTCTATATTTATTACCTTTATTGCAATGTCTTTAATTAATTGTTTGGTCTGTTTTGTCCATATGGCAGGCACAGTTAATATCCACGTTATCGAGTTTGATTTAATTGTTATAGAGCATCTTGTAGTTAATTCATTGTAAACTAAACACTTTAAATGATTTAATGTTTCTGATAATATTCGAGTAGCTGGAACCATAACATTATTAGCCGCCATAATGCATGTATCATTTGTTATCACCTAATAATTTTTAAAGTACAGTAATTGTTATAAATTTATTAATTAATTAAAGAATGAATATTTACGTCCTTGTTACACAAAAACATTTTGAACTTATCAAAATAATACCATTTCTGTGCATCATCTGGATGCATATCATGAAAATAATCACGTGCTGGTGTTCCAAATGAATGGAATTTGAAATCAGGAGTTAATAGTAAAACAGTTGGTATTTTTTGCCTATCATCTATTAATTCAGACTCATCTAATAAATATTAAAATAAGAATTTATTTATTTATTTTAGTAATTTTATTTTATATTTAATTTAATTGGGTACCGACCGTTTTTTTTTTGTCAAAAACAACCTGATTTTTTTCCACCTACTATGTACTATGCGGACAAAATTTTGAAAAAATCTGATTTCTACATCGTGTAAAAAAAATCAGGATCGTTCTAATTATAAAAATTTGTTTCTCTTCCCCTTTATACTAGTTGAATATTTAAAAATATTCATCTTTTCAAATTAACTTTAAGGGTTAAATGAAACAAATTTGTAATTCAAAATAAAATAAAATTCAAATTTTTTTTTTATAAATGTAAAATAAGTGATTTTCTGTTCTGTTGGAACAAAAATGAGTAGTCAAAACTAATAAAACTGAATGTTTTCCAACAATATCTGTTAAATTTTTTATTGAAAAAAAATTACAGTCGAAAAATTTTTTTTATTGTTAAATTAATTATATTTTTGTTACTTGAACAAAATATTTTTTTGCTTGATAAAGTTTTTATTTTCTTAATCAAATTTTTTTTTTCAATCAACAAGAAAAAATTGTCAGCTATACAGGGTGTTCAGTAATTCAGGAAACGGGTTTCCTGACAAACTGAACACTCTGTATATTGACAATATAGAAGACTGGGTCAAGTTGACAATTGGGTAAGATGATCCTCTTGATTTAAAAAAATATATAAAAATACTACTGCTAATGATAAAATAAGTGTATTGTTAATTATAAAAGTAATATTTAAAACACAAAATTTTAAGTATAGATTATTATAATGTAAAAATTTTATATGAACTAAATAATAGTAATAAGGAAAAACCCTAAACAATAGTAGATATCGTTAAGAATTGTAATATTATGATATCAATTATAATATTTTGTTATAATTTGTTCATGCATGTCACATATGATGAATATACAAGATCACTAAAACAAGGTTTACTTATTTAAGATAACCGGTTAATTATGGGATAATAGCTAATTATTGCACAGATTTTTAAGTAACGCAAGACCCCGTTGTAATTAGCCAATTAGAATAAAAAGCCTTAACTAACACGATTACGTTAAGGATAGCACTACCTCTCTGTCTACAAAACCCCAATTTTTGCTGTCAAAACTAATTCTTTTGATATTTTATAGTAGACTAAACTGTGACACTACTTAAGATTTTCAGTCTCTAAGATTTAATCTTTTTTTAAAATAATTTTGACTTCTATTTTTCAAGTTAAATGGCACATTAAAGTAAATTTTATTTTGGTGAATCTATTAATTTAAGTTTATTTGTTCATTAAATAATAATGATTTTTTTTTTTGATTATGAAAATAAATGTAAAATATTATTAAACTTGAATTAAAATATTTACCAAAATAAATTTCACATTATAATTTCTATGAGTCATTTAATTAATTTGAAAAATATTCTAATTCCAAATTAATTAAAAGTTAAATTACTATTTATTCAAATTTATAGATAATATTTATTTTTTTAAAGGAATGATTGAATTACTCCAAAAGTAACACGAACTCCTAATTCCTTATTTATATCCTGTTTACAAATTTTAAGATTTATAAATATAATACATAGATATATACTTATTATAATAATTAAATTTAGTATGAAATTGATATTTAATAATTTAATATTATAATTTTTACGGAGAAATTATAAAAAGTGATTCCGTTGTTGTATACTAGAGGATTCTATTAATATTAGTCACTGGATTAAAATAATAATTATAAAAACAAATTTCTTTTTTGTTATTTATAATAATACTTATTTATCGTATTATTAATATTAAGTATTTTTTTTAGATTATCCCACATGCCTTATTAGTGTGTCAGTACAATTTTTTCAAATGGTAACATAAATATTTAACTAGATAATAAAATTTTAAATAATCTAATTAGGAAAATGACTAGTCGACGAAAACTATTTTTGGAAATGAACTTTAGAAATTATTAAAGTTTTTAAATATAAAGTAGAAGAAAAGAGCTATAGAGTATAATAAGAGTAATGCGTAATTTTAAAAATAACATAACCCAGACTTCAACTCCATTCTACATTTTAAATGAGTCCTGAAAAAAAACTTCCAATATAATGGTTCAAAATGGTCTACGATTAGCATTTTCTCAATTAAACAAATTTTTATTTTTAAGCATGTTAAATATGTATGTCACTAGTATAAAATTAAGTTAACATCCTTATTATGTATAAAGGATAAATTAAAAAAATTATTATAATTGATAAATCGGTAAATATATTTAACTAAAAACATCAAACATTATTTCCTTAGCATAATTATTATTTTAAAAGAAAACGAGATTTAAATTTAATGAACAAAAAAGAATTAAATAAAAAATTATTATAATAACGTTAAAAAATTTTGATTTTTACACCAGAATAACATTTTTTGCTTGAATTTGGATGCTGTTCATATATAGACGACAAAGTGTCGGGAAAATTTTTTTTTTTATTTTAGTACTTAACAAAAGCTTTAACTTAACATATGTTTTTTTAATCGCCCCAAAAGGCAGTGTAAGAATCAGATTTTCAGTAAATATATACCTAAAAAAACAGAATTACCTAAAGTACTTACACAAAAAAAAATTTTTTTGATTCAATAATTTTTCAAAAAGTTATGATAGTTTTAGGTAAAACGTTAAAAAAATATTAAAAATTATGAATTTAAAAAAATAGTAATTTTATTTTAGAATTTCCACTATTTACGAGGTACGAGGGAAAAATGTTTGATTTTAATAATAATATATTTAATTAGATATGATTTATGATCTTTTGACGAAATGTTGAGAAAAAATGTTTCCAGCGAGAGCTGAGAAAAAATAATAACAATCACAAAATAAATAAACATTACAGTAAAATTAATACCTCTTCAACTTCGCATTGAAACTAAAATAAATTATATTTTAATTTTTAATAAAAATTGATTTTTAACCAATATACTCTTTAATTTCTTATATAAGCAGCAGAGGTGTCTTGAGAAAGATACTAGGAGGCATTATTATACTCCTAATAAGCAATATTTAATAATGTTAGTCCAAAAATTTTTAATATATAACATAACCAAAAGAAACTTATATAATTTTAAAATTATTCAGTCAGAGAAATATATTATATTATATTTCACTAAATTTTCAAATTTATGATGGTCTTGCATACAACTCCACTGCTTTACATAAATAAATTATAAAATTACATACATTTGACTACTCAAAAAAGGTCGTTCCAAATGACTTAATGAAAAACATTCATTATTACTTTTAGGCTTTTTCATTATATTAACATCCCTAAATCGTTTGAAAGAATATGCATAACCACTATATGTTGTACCAAGATCAACAGCAACAATAATACCATCTTCTAAATACTCCATTTCTATTTGTAATTTAGAATGACATTGGTCTCTATTGACATAAACTTCTTCAACTAGGTTAAAAGTTTCATTTAATATTTGTGAACTAGAAGTAATACATCCATGAGATTTATTTGATAATTCTTGAAAATCAATTATATTATCTTCATTATTTTGATGAAAATCTTGTTGAATTACGGATAATGATATTAATCTAGTAAAATCAAACAGTTAATTTCATAATCAATAAATTATACACCTAACATCAAGGTTAAATGTATAATAATTATGTTAAACCTGTTTAAAGTACTATTTATAGACTTTTCTATTTCATTGTCTTCGTATTCATAAGGAATTCCGGAATCTAGTGAATTATACCGTAAAAATAGTTCCATATCATCTTCTTGATACTCAGGTTCCTCTTCTACACAACCTAAAACTGAAAATATTTTTAAAATTTAAAAAAAATATATACATTTTTAAAATAAGCGAGTTTTAAAAATGTCAAGACCATCATAGATGAAGAATTGTTAAAATGGATAATATTAAAAAAAAATTTAACTAGCCTTTTTTTAAATATATTAATATCTTTTTATTTATTGAATATATAGTTATATAGAAAAACTCCATTTATATTTTTTATATGATTGAATAATAATGAATACTGAATTTAATAGTTAATCTTATTGCTAATTAAAATGCTACTTGATAAAAGAACACTCCTTTTTGAGATTTTCCTCCTTATATAAATTTACTGTATATAAATTTTATTTTTAATAAATAAACATTCTACGTACTATAACACTTCTATGTACCATATTTATTTCATAAAATAATGTCACTATTGAACAAAAAAATATATCCGAAAATATTCGGCGAACCATAAAAATGTATAATCTCACCAGATACATATATATATAAGATTTTATTGAAAAAAGACTGATCTAAAAATGTTAAAATATTTTCTTCAGCAATATTAAAGTTCGTTCCAATAATTATTATAATTTTTCTTCTCTCTGATGATATGGCAGTATTGTTTTAACCCTTATTTGATACATTACGTACGCATAAGCGCAAATTGAAAAAATATTTGTGAAGTTTGATTTGTTCATTTCTCTTATAAAATATTATTATCTAAAAATACATGTAATTTTCATAATTATTTTTTAGGAATTTCTCTTTATGTCTTCCCATATTGCGCTCATACTAGTAAATTTTAATTTATATAAAACCTTGCTGAAATTTGTGTATATTGTTATGCCTAAACAATAATATTTCTTGTTCTAAACTTGATAAAGGATCGTCGACAAATATTCGACCTCTTCTTCGTTCTTCATATGTGTCTATAAAATTTACGGCTGATGATTCTGCTATAAAAATAAATATAAATCAAATACATTACGAATGAAGAAAGTGTGCTAAGTATATAATTTATAGATGTTGAGTAACCGTGCGTAACATGGCGTACAAAATCACTAACATAAAAATAATGCATAATAACATGATAAAAATGTTGTAGAAAATACATTTTTTTATGCTAATATTTTATTAGCACTATTAAATCTATTTCCATAAGAATATGATTCAACCAAAAAATAATTTGAATAAAATTAAAATGAAAATCTTTATACAATTGTTTAATCTAATATAATGGATTGTTTTATTTGATTCACATGTGATTTCTATGCTGTTTATAATCAGAATATTAATATTATATATGTTTATATTAGAATATCTTCTAAATAGTAATTTTATGGATCAAAAAAATTACAATGCCATTTTATATTAGAATACAGAATAGAACAAATCTATGTTAAAACTACAACTCTTGAACTACTAATAAATTTTATATTCCTTTAAAAGAATAATTGTCTCAATAACGTGTTATCGACAGCCAAAATAAAAATAGACAATCCTTGTTTTATAAATCATATTCTTTATTAAGGTATTTTTAAAGGACTCGGGCTGTCCGGTCAAACAGTTCTTTAAATATAATTCCATCTTACTAAAAATTTCATAAAACTGAAATATTTAAATCTTTAGTTATTTCAACTATGCATTGTCCCTTAGTCAGGTCTTAAGAATACTGAATTTTTTTATAATGGAAATGTTTTACTCCCGTATGAAAACGCACATATAAGTCATATCTCCATATTATAGTTTATCAATAATAAATTAACTTATTGTAAAAATATGTTTGTGTAGAACCCTTTAAACTTATATTAAACTAAAGCTAATGAAATAATAACAATTACTACAGGAGTTATCAATTATGTCGTAATATAATATATATATTCTACCTTTTTAATCTAAATATTGTAAAGTTTAAGTATATTAATGAGACTCAGACTCCCTTAAGTTCATAATAACCTTTTTTTCCTAAAAAATATTCATAAAACTATTTTCAAGAATATTTGTGATGAAAAGTTTAATGATGGCATTAATCATTTTAAGGTTACAATACAATTAGGTTGGGATAACTTGCTTTTCTAATTTAGATCTGTATTCAATAATGTAGGCTATAATCATTGGTAAAATAATATTATAAATAATTAATGATTTTGATGCTAGAAGATCATATGATTAGCTAAAAAATGGCAATAAGTTAGATTCTAGGTCTTAAAATTAATCAATCATCAATGTCTCCTATTGAAACTATTTGGCTATACCTTAACAGGAAATTTACAACGGCTATCGACATGAAGTAACCTCATTCAACTTCCTCAGCGAGAGAGTCACTCTTTATAAACTTATTTTTAATAGCATAAAATTTTTCTAGACTATGCCACAATATTTTTCAAATATACAAACAACGTTTTTTATATAAAAATTAATAATTATATAATGTATTTTATTCTTGGCAAAAGTCTATTTATTTAAAAAAAATTGCTTACGCTGACGATCATTAATTTGGTATACAGAAGCTTCTGGTTCAATTGCATAAGTTAATTCACTTTTTTTTGAATTTGTAAACATTTTATTAAATAATGTAGAAAATTTCAAGTAAAATATGTTTTCAAAAACGTTATTGCCTTAATACTGATCAAACATTGTGTGTGTTCTTTGTACCCAACGTAAAATCTTTGGACCGTATCTGCTAGTCTTCACAGCCCAGCGACATTATAATGATGGTAAAATTAAATAGTATATTATTATTTAAGTGTATACGGAAAAAGAGAAAGGAATACATTACACATACAAAAACCACAAATTTTACTCTAATTTTTATAAACGAATCTGTCTTCAAATAAACATACGTCGTAATAACATCCTTCACTACGTTAGGTAGCGACCGTTTAAATATTAGATTAAGACAAATTTTCACAGAATAAATAAATTGAAGTTACAAAAATTATAAATATTGTTATCAAACGTCACGGACGTGCCTAGGGGTGGTTTTGGGGGTTTAAACCACCTCCAAATTGACTTTTTAAATTTTTAACCTTATTTTTTTTATGAAGTAAAAATTATACATTATAGTACATTACAGTCAAGGTGAAATAAAATTTTGTTTTTATAAGATTAAGTCTTCAAATGTATTTTTAATATTTGACAGTAGTATTAAAATATTGGGTTTTTATGAATACATTTGGGATAGTTTATTTTATACCTACTTATTTTAATGATATAATTGTAAATTTAATAACATCAAAAAATTAAAACCACCCCCAAAACAAAATTCTAGGTACGGCCTTGCCAATCATTGCTTGTTAATAATGATCTAATTTGCATTAGTCACATTGTTGCATATAATCGAATGGAAAATATGCATGTTGGGAGTGCATAAAAACTTACAACACATATAACTTATGATTCAATTATCTTTTTTTTTTTAATAATTATTGCCTTCTTAAACTACATTTAAACATATTTTTTTACAATTTATCACTAAATAAATTTATGTTAATAAATAGTTTGATGGATCGATAATAATTATAGGATAATTACTTATTAAATTAAAAGCATTTTAATACATAGAGTAGGTATGTAACACGGATGGTGCATAATGATGTACGTATACTCCGTCTGTGTTCTATATCCATTATATGTATTAAAATCCTTATATTTCAATGAATATTTATCTTAAAGTTGTTACCCACCAACATTTTTTGTAAAAAAAAAAAAAAAAAAATAGAGCTAAATACTGGCTACTTTGATATTTACAAATTTTTCTTAATCTCCTCTTCTTCTTCCTCGCCTTAATCCCAACTACTTGGGATCGGCCACCTTTATCCTAAACTTCCTCTTAACACAATCTCTCACATTATCTACGTTTACATCAGCTGCTCTTATATCGCATTCAATGACATCCATCTATCTCTTTTTTGGTCTTCCTTTACCTCTTCTTCCTTCAACATTCATTTCTATAACAGTTCTTACAGCTTCCGATTCGTCTCTCTTCATATCATGACCTAACTATCTAAGTTTATTTTCTCTCATCTTATCCACGATTGACGCTACACCTAAACTCCCTCTTATATGCTCGTTCCTTATCCTATCCTACAAATTATTCTTAATGTAATCTTTTTTAATGGCTAATCTATAAAAGTATACATGATATCTGACAATGATTAAAATCATAAAAAACGACCATTGTTTTTTAACATATCATACTCAGCGTGCCGTCCAAATGCATTCTAGAACCGTATTGTTCATCTTTCAATAGATTTTTTGTCCACTGTTCTATTAGATGTGCAAAATATAACTTTGAATAACTATTGTATTCCGATTTTTGTTGTTGCATTAGCGACATGGTTCTATTATTGGCGCTAGTTCGCTTAATGTGTATCATTGACTATGATCCATCACGATACAATACTTGATATTTTTGTTTTACATTGTCCTTGGCAATTTATTCGAAGATTTCTAGTTGAGTTAGATTTGGTTTGGCTTTGTACCTTGTGACGTTCACCGATAACTAACCGTGAGGTTATCACCGATGAAGCACATAAACCCAAACGAAGTTGGATTCACCACTAGCCGAGGCTCTACCAGACCGGAGCATAGTGGAATTTTATATATAACTGACACATTTGTTGTTTAATTTACTAAGTTTTTACCTTAACTCTAGGGGAAAAGGAATTAAAAACTGGTAGACAAGTAGTATAGGCGATGATGTTCTATTTTATATACTGTGTTTAACTGAAATAATAATGCCCAAAGTACAATAAAATAAATGTCAGTTACAAATGTTCAAAGTCAAATAAAATTACAAATTCTTTTATATAACATATTTCAAGTCATAGTTAAAATTATTACAAATTATTACAAATTATTAAATGAGCTAAAGGACAAATAAAATAAAAGGGACATGAGGGAAAAAATAATCTCTGACACTTCTGTATTGACTATGTTCGATTTGACCAAGGGACAGGATCGTACTTTCCAATATTGAATAAAATAAAATGGTTATCATTGCAATAATGCTCAAACTAAAACATGACATCGGTCAATATGGATCTAGGCCTTTTATACCGAGCCTTGAGACTGCTAAGCACGTCTAGATTGGTCCAACATGAGGTTTTATTACACTCAACATAATAAAATTAATGATAGAATGAACGAAAATGATATTTTATCATAATTTACCAATAGTCAATGAGCAAATATGCCAAGAGATAAGATAGAATAATCATATTAAAATATTAAAATATATTAATGACATTTTTAAAGAAACCTCGTGACAATGCACGAATAGAGGGAACAATGAAATGGACAAAACAAAGAAAAAAACGGGAATGCTGTACAAAGTTACCAAATTATATTATCATGATGCCCAGGCCGTAGCCAACAAATGAGTCTTCACCCATGGCTCGATCGCCAGGGCCAAAAGTAAAGTTAGGCAGCCATATGTTCAAATATACGCAACATAAAACTAAGTAAAAGGCTGGAGACAGAATTAGACGACCGGCCAAAACACATTTAAACAAAACGGCCAGACCACTTGACGGCGACGACACACATGGACCGGAAGGGGAAACAAACGCCGACATCAGTGCATGCTTCGTTGACAGACATCTGGGACCGGTTGAATGATTGACAGTACTGTAGTGGTCAGCTGGGCGTTTTGTTATCACAATGATAATTTGTTATGAACGATTGTACAACAGATAATAGAAAAAAGGGAATGTGCGACTGCATTATTTAGGAAAATTGAATAATGTTATTACTGAATTATACTGTTCAAAATTAGTTTTTATTCACCACGAAATTAATACTATCTAGACAATAACACGACATTACCAATTGCCGAGCAGTTACACTTAATTATATGATGTTCACAATAACTAATTCATTTACTAATGTGTTAAATAGTACTATTAATGATTGGTCAATTTTTTATGTCACAGAAACCCCCCAAACAGATTATTTGAGCCAGCGAAAATGATCTGTTTCAAGATAGGCGGAAAAATTGATGGATTGTGGAGAATATGCAAATGATCAATTTGAATGTGAGGATACAAATGGACAATAATAAGGTTTCAAATGGATCACATTGAAGGTTCCTCGGACGAGTCGAGTTTTAGGATGTTCTAGGACATAAGCATTTTCCTTTTTGGTTAGAGTTATGAGGAATGGACCTTCATATAACAAGTAAAATTTAGATATCTTTTTAACACTAGAGCAACTGAGTTTATGAGTTTTCAGAAGAACGAGATCACCAGGTTTGTATTGGATGGGACTACCTTTGGTGTCATGGAGTTTTTTCCTACGTTTTGCTTGGGCAATTTGAAAATGATGAGCTTTTATACGTTTTTCAATATTGTTCACTGTATAGGATTGTGGAAAATTAATAACAGATTCAAATGGATTGTAATTATTTGTTCCAAGGAAAAGTTCGTGTGGAGTAAATTTAAGAGATTCATGTGGAGTATTATTAAGAATCCATTCAACGTAAGCTAAGTGACGAGGCCAGTCTTGATGATGAGAAAAACAATATGTTCGAAATAAGCGACCAAGTTCTCTCATGACCCGCTCTGCAGGATTGCTCTGAGGATGATAAACAGAGGTATATGTCACTATGATGCCTAAAGATTCTAAGGTTTTGACCCAAATTAAACTTATAAATTGACGACCATGATCTGATACGATTTGGCGAGGAACTGAAAAAGAGGGGATAAATTCATGGACGATTTTATGAGTGCAAGCTTTGGCTGTGGCCTTACATAAAGGATATAATTTAACATAACGAGTAAAATTATCAAGGATAACAAATATGTATGTGTATCGGTATTGCCCCATCGGAAGTGGACCAAAAATGTCAACAAGAATTTTCTGTAGTGGACCTGATGAAATTACATGTTGCATAGTACCTTCACGGCGAGTAGTAGAGTGTTTAGCTCGCTGGCATAAATCACAGGATCGAATTGTTAGACGAATAGTCTTATGGAATTGAGCAAATGTACAAAATTTTGCAATAATATCAGCGGTCTTTTTTGGACCAACATGATGGAACGATGTAATTACATGATGGATCAAATGTGCTGGTATACATAATAACCAAGTACACAAAGGATTCTTGCGAAAGAAAAGGATATGATTGAGGATTATATATCGTTTAAGCCAGACTGGTTGACGTAGATTATCAGATATATTAATGAAATTATGAATTTTTCCCAGTTTAGGATCCTTACGCTGCTCAAGTGGTAAATTTTTAAGAATGTCTGACATTTCAGATGAAAAATTAGGAGGTACAGTGATTTGGCAAATAATAGGATCTTCAGGAGTAACTTGGTCACGACCATCCGGGTGGCGGGATAGAACATCTAACTGATTGGATTTACCAGGACAATGGACAATATTAAGTGGCCTACTATTACTGGACTGAATAGATAATGGAGAAGATTTAAAAAATGGGATCTGTACACCCCATAAGGGAAAAGTCACTTGTTTGGACTTGTAGTCAATAATAGCCTGTTGTGAATGTAACCAATCATGACCAAGAATAATATTCTGAGCTAAACTTGGGACAACAAGAAATATAGAATTTGATAAATTATTATTAATTTGAAAATTTAAGAAAACTTGTAGAGAGACTTTTTTACTTTTACCTTTAATAGCGGTGGATAGATGAACATTAGTAAGAGGAAAAACATTAATCTTATTTGAAAAATTATTTTTATGAGTATTATAAAATTCACTGGAAATTGCTGAAACAGATGCACCAGTGTCAAGTAGAACAGGGATAATTTCATTAAATAATTTTACAGTGATTTCTGGACGAACAGGGACAGGATTATTGGGATTATTTTGTAATGGACGAGTAAGGAGACTAATAAAAGGGACTTTTAGATATGGACCGCTGTTAGACTCTACCCTTCTTGAGTGGGTCCATCGTCGTTTCCCGTATTTGGTTGAGCGTTCGACTGATTTTGGTTGTTACTATTTGAATAATTGTTATTATTGTTCCAGTGATTACGATGATTTCGGTGATTGTTATTTGGGCGATTATTATCATGGTATCGAAATCCAGACTGATTGTTGGATTGATATGTGTTT